ATCACATGTGTGTCTGAGATCAGCTGGGTTATATGCTTCCCATCTGCAGACCCAGAGCTGGGGTTCATGGAGGAAGCAGGGCAGAGAGCTGGTGGACTGGCCCCCATGCTACATGCAGCAGGTAACAGAGGACAGATAATGCTGAGTGTGCTTTACATACAGATGTAGGCTGACTGACACACACTCCTGAATCTTGGAGTGATGCTCTATGTATAGATATAATATTCATATCCCAATCCATACTTGCTTTGGCTGCTGTATAAGGGACATTAACTGATTTGTACCTATTGATCCTTTGCTTTGCATCTGTAGTTTTTTTTTTCTTCTGAAGTTACTGAGAGATGTGTATTTTTTGTTTTGCAAGTTTGCAAGTTGTAATAGGCTTTAATAACCTGGATTGGTATAGTTCTGCAACTCAGGTGTGCATTAACCCCTTAAGGACACATGACGTGTGACATGTCATGATTCCCTTTTATTCCAGAAGTTTGGTCCTTAAGTGGTTAAGAAAAAAAAATGCTCCAGACTGGAAGTGCCCATCCTTTTTAACTCATTGTGTACATCATGCATGGAAATAATTAAGATTCAGAAATACCTGTAAAGTTATTTACAGCGGCTCTATTACTTTCGTGGGGACTCTTCATATTAAGCAAAGCTTGCCCCGTTTGAAAACCGTTTTAACCCCTAAAGGTGAGCTAGTGCCAGGGACCTCTTGGGACCATAACAAATTCATTTTGTTTTGGTGACCAGAGTGTTACTTCTAAGTTTCTGAACTTGCACAGGTAAACTACAGCTACATACAGCCACCCCTCAGACCAAGAAGAGGTTCTGCCATTTAGGAGTCTCTTCTTCTGATTTATGGGTTATTATCATATCTGGTAAACAGGAGTTTATGGATATGTACTTCAGCCCCCAGGTACAATTCGTTTTATGTGGAAGTTCAGCTGCTATCGGTTTAATCATACCCCTGTGAATGGCACTGTACATGGCATTCTCCCAAGCCAAGTGTCACACAGCAAGCTGTAGTGGTCATTGTTCCTGGAGTGTTTTTGTTATTGAATACTCCACTAATCCTTACTCATGACACTACAGGAGTTGCCTGACGTTGGGAGACACTGTTGAACTGCACACTTTCTGATAGTATTTTCACGTTTATTACCTGTCAGGAGTTACATTTGGGCACTCCTTAAACACTTGAAAATATGAGCGTGACTAGAAATAATGGAGTGCTTTGTGCTTTGAAGCTGTCATATGAGATCCTTTAGTGGAGTTATGCACTCTTGAAATTAATCCCAAGTAACTGATTAAGTTAATCAACTTTCAGCTCTCGTATTTAATGGTGTATTTTTCACTAAGAACCATTCTCTTGTGTTCTGGGGTGGAGGAGCGGTAACATGTCTTTCTACATCACTGGCTCTTTTTTTTTTTTTAAATTCTTTATTTTTGTCGTGCATGTATCAACAACAATTACACAGAGCCACATCAGCGTCTGTGTGCATCTTAAAGCATTTGACAATGTCACAGGTTAATACAGAACATTTTTAAGGTTAAAGAGTAAAAAATAAGACAGAAAAAACTATTTTGTTAGTAAACAGTGGGGATGACGATACGCAAAACTCTATACACATTCAATTTCGAATTCCGTTTTGATAAGTAATGGCAGTCTTGCTACTTACATTGCTTATTAATATAAAAAGAGGCACATTAACTGTGAGAGACGCCCAGAAAATATCAGGGAATTAATGAAAATAACGAATCAGTACAGTCATAGTGCCTTATCGTGTGTAGTTATATGGACTTCACATGCCCATCCCTGACATATGCCCAAGGAGTCCGCTATCTAAAGTTAGGTGTTGTAGAGTGCGACTAGCATGGCAGCCATACCATGATCCCATTCTACGCAAAAGCCCAACTTGCTCACAGACTACATTGCTCATCCAACCGTATCTTCGTATCGAAAGGAGGAGAAAAAAGAAAACACCACCTCCCATGGAGAAACCAGAGGGAGGGGAATAAAAAAGTAATAAAGAAGGATGAGACTGAAAAAAGGGAAATTCCAAAGTGGAGAGAAAGGAAGGAGGAGAAAACAGCCGAGATGTAGCGAGCAGAGAAGCTGCGAGGAAAGAGAGAAAAGAGAGGGGGGGGGGGGTCCCTGCTACGTGGGGCCCTTCCCTCTACAACAGGACAAGGTGCCGTCAAGCACTGCCCGAGCCCAGTAGACTACTGTCCCATGGCTCCCAAATCTTTTGAAACGACGCCATTGTCCCCCGCACTCTAGCAGTTAAGTCATCCATTATTCTACATTCTCTAATCCTAGATATCACTCCGGAGAATTCCGGGCCTTCCGGAGAGAGCCACGCGATCGCTATGGCACGGCGCACGCTTAGGGTTATCTTATGCACCAATTTTTGTTCCCTCCTGGTCCAACCATCGAGAGACCTATTTAGCAGGTATACCAACGGATCTAGACGTAGGGGTCTGTTGAACGTCTGCCTCAGGAGGTCTTCCACTGACCTCCAGAAGCCGGTGAGTTTTGAACATTCCCACCACATATGGATACATGTGCCCCGGGAACCACAGCCCCGCCAGCAGTCATCATTATCTAATTTGTGCATGCGATATAGTTTCACAGGCGTGGTATACCACCGAAGCATAGTTTTCCATGCTTGCTCTTGGAGAGTGACACAAATCGAGACAGTGGTATTCGCCTCCCATATCTCCCTCCACTCCAGTCCCTCCAAGACTTCACCGAGGTCCGATTCCCATTGATCCGTGTAATTCAGACTTCCCCATTCACCAGTTTCCGCGCTCAGGTGAGCGTATAGAAGTGTAATCATACCCTTGGGGGCGGTCCCGTTGGAGCAAAGCCTTTCGAAAAAGGTAATCTGACCCAGAGCTGCTGCCTTAATGCGAGGTTTGCTAGCGAAGTCACAAATCTGGACATAGCGGAAAAAATCCGCGGGGGTTAAATGGGCCTCTTGCTGTAGTTCTGCAAATTGAATTACCGAGCCATTTCGATACAGCTGATGTAGACGTTGCAGCCCTGTGCGTTCGATGTTATGAAAATCTCTGGGAGCCATGCCGGGGAGAAAGTCCCCATTCCTAAGGAATGGGGTCATTGGGGAGGGGGACGTTGCCAGTCTGTATTTGAGATGGCATGCATCCCAAATCCGAATAGAATTGAGTATGGATGGACATGTACTCCGTAATCACTGGCTCTTTTTATGTTGTCGATCCTCGTATTCTTTTGGTGAATAGGTAAATATATTAAACCTAGAACAAAATTGGAGAGGTACAACGGAACTCTACTGATGCATTCTAAGAATTTGACTTTATAGTTGTGGAGATGTTCCACACCCTTTATACAATGTCACATCAAACCTTTTTTATGAATGGGGATCTACTGAATGGCTTAGAGCTTCAGCTGACCGCTCTAGCCAATCACCGGCTCCCCTGGCTAGCAACATTTTGCGGTTCCTGAAACTCAATTTCAGAATCCGCATGATGCTGGTAGACCTGCAGATATAACGCTGGAGGCAGCCTTCCGTGTTAAATTTTTTTTTCATTATTGTTTATTTATTTTTATTTGCAACGCAATTTTAACGCAATAAAGCATAGTGGAAATATAACTGGGTTTGATTTTTATTTAAATACTAGCTCTTTGGGTCTTTGTTTTGCAATTTACTTGTTGCTTGACCACTGTTTTCTGTATACCGAACTTATCCTTTTTATAAATAGTAATATGAATTGTATCCTCAGAGGAAACTGGGAATGAGTGCGGAATAGGTATAGAAAGAAAGAAAGAGGATACGGGATCAGGAGCTAATACTGGGATGGGAATAAACGTGGATACAGTCATACATATCTCTAAAGAGGAGAATAGATGAGAAAGCAATGGACACTGTAACGTTTACCTCCAGATTGATATTAAACATTTATTGTGATGCAGCATTTTATGTTTTTATTGCAATCTCCTCCACCTCAGATGCAATAGTGATCCAGTGATCCTTACTGACGTCATAATAGGTGATGTCATGAATGTAAATGCTGCTATAACAGCTTGAGCATTCTGTTTGCTCCCAGTTGTATCCGAGGTTCGGACAGAGCTTCACCCTACATCCATAGGTCCCTTACCATGTCCAAGGCATAGAGATCTATGTGTCTATTGGATGTGTCTGAAGATTTGAAGTTTGCCTCCGCTCAGTTTGATCTGGAGCAATGGAGGTTCTAGCAGGGGAGATTTATATTCTCCACATCTACTTGTATACCCATGTTCAAATATGGGACTTTCTTCAGAGAGGATTATAAACATTTTAAGCTTTGAATGTGTCCCGTTGGAAAGATTGCAATGGCAAAAGAGAGAGGAAAAGTGCCTATGGTCTGTAAGGGTCTGTGTATCATTTTGTCTGTCTGCCTGTCTTCCACCTACCTGTTTCTTTTACTTCCTGCCCGTTTTTCTTCCAGTCTAACTGCCTTCTGTCTGTCTATCAATTTTAATAACTCCTAAAAAAAACTCTCAGAAATTCCCTATCAGGGTTATTCACTAAAGTGTTTATTCAAAGTGAATTTCAAATTTGAGGTAATAATAGCCATATTCAAACATTCTTTGAAGAGAAACTATAGTGCCAGGAAAACTAACTGGCACTATAGCTTCCCCCTTTGTCAAGGCCACTGCCCCCATGGTGCAGAAGGGGGTTAATAACTCCTTCTGTCACTTACCTGGAAACAGCGCCAATGTCCCTCGGTGCTGGCTCAGCTCCGCCCACGCAGACGTCAGCCATGCTCGCATTAGGATTTCCCCATAGGAAAGTATTATTCAGTGCTTTTCTATGGGGAAAAATCTGACGTTGGAAGTCCTCATGCATAGCGTGAGAACGTCCAGCGTCGTTTAGGCTACCAAAAATCGCCTATCCACTCGGATGTCCTTCTTGGAGGAGGAGTTAACCCTCTCAGGTAATTATTGCAGTTTATAAAAACTGCAATAATTACATGCTCAGGGTTAAGGGTGATGGGAGTTTGCACCCAGAGCACTTCAATGAGCTGAAGTTGTCTGGGTGCCTACAGTGTCCCTTTAAGTCAGCTATGCTTCTAATTTGAATACTTTGACCTTAAAGGACCACTATAGTGCCAGAAAAACAAACTTGTTTTCCTGGCACTATGTAGTCCTTAGGTCCCCCCCACACTCATGGACACCCTCCTGCTGGGCTGAAGGGGTTAAAATCCCTCCAGCCACTTACCTTTATCCAGTGCCAGGCTCCCTCGGCGCTGGTGACCTCTCCTCACCCTCCGACGTTGGCTCCCAAGTGGAGCCGCATGCGCCTCCAGAGCCACGCTCGCATTAATAACACCCATAGGAAAGCATTACTCAATGCTTTCCTATGGACGTCAGCATCTTCTCACTATGATTTTCACAGTGAGAATCACGGAAGCGGCCTCTAGTGGCTGTCAGTGAGACAGCCACTAGAGGCTGATTAACCCTGCAGTTTAAACATAGCAGTTTCTCTGAAACTGCTATGTTTTCATCTGCAGGGTTAAAACTAGAGGTGCCTGAAGTGGTCTGGGTGCCTATAGTGGTCCTTTAAATTTTGTCTAAATTCAAGTCTAATTCACTTTGATTTCTCACTTTAATGAATAACCCTGGTTATTTGCCTCTTAATGTCCAGATAGAGGGAAGGGAAGTCATTCAAGCCCTGGTTCCCCAGAGGTTTCCTCCAAGAGTGTTTTTTCATTTCCTGAGTGCTGCAAGAATGGCTCTTCCTGAGTCCAGTTGTATTGAAGATCTTGTTTTCTGGCTAATTTTTTAATAATATACAAGATAAATCCTGCCTCCTAAGTGACTCCTCTCTCTGTTTGCGAAAGTAAAATATGTTTAATAAATGTAAAGTTAACTTATATCGATGTCTCGTGTTTATTTTGGGCAGTAAGTTGGTTGGGTTTGGAGGGAGTGGGCTGGAATGTGATATGCTTAGAGAGTAAACATAGTAAATTGCTGGTGAGGTTTTTGCTTATTATTTTAATTAAAGGCAGAGGAATGTGATGTGTGTTGGGTATATGCTGGTGCAGTAAAAAAAAAAAGGTTTAGGTTTACAGTAATGGGTATTTATTTAGGGAGATGTAACACCGATTACATTTCAAAGAGATGACCTTATCCACTTCTCAGCCCGAAAAACAAAGGAAGAGGAATTATGATTTATAAAATCTGCTGTTTGTGTTCAATTCATTATATAAAATGAATAAAAGACTTATTTTTTTCTCAGCAAAATTTATTTTAAAGACATAATTACAAATAGTCACTAGGACTGTATTCACTTTGGACCACAAGATTCTAAAAAACTTAGCATTTTCCCAAATCCTTGTATCTATCGTAAAATATGCATAAAGGTTAATATAATTCACCTTTGCAAATCAAGAGGAAGGAATCCTTATTACAGCCTCATTGATATGTGTTTGTGCTCTACATTTAATCTAGACCCCTTAGTTGGGGGTCCTCAATCCAGCAGGTGTCCCCAGGTGTCATCAATCCAGCATTCACTTCACATTTCACATATCGTTAATGCAGAAATTTCCATTCAATCTGTGTTTTGAAAGAGTTTCGTTGACTTAGAGCATCAGCTGAAGATGAAAGGAACAACATTAGAGGGACACTATAGGCAACCAGAATATGTTACCTTACTGAAGTGGTCTGGTTGCCATGTCCCTTTCCCTCTTAGACAGCTACTAGAGCCATTGGAGTTTAACAGAGTTTGATTCTGTGAAATAGCGCTGGACGTCCTCACAATCTGCATAGGGACATCCAGCATCAAGGGAAAACCCCATACGAAAGCATTGGGGCAATGCTCTCCATTGGGGAGGCCTAATCATGCGCACTAGGTCACAACCCCTAATTGGCTGACGTAATAGGAGGCGGAGCAGAACCCACCACTGAGGGACACTGGTGCTGGAATCCGTTAAGTAAATAAAGTGTTATTTAACCCTGTAAATCACAGTGGGTGGGGAGGAGGTGCAGAGGAACATGTTAGTATTCCTTTAATATTTCTAAAGTGAAATAGGATCTTCAACCTTGGCTATATCAGAGACAAAGGCCTGACCATGGACGCCCAGGGGACTCCAGTAAGTGCCAAACTGTTTAAAAACCCTCTTGAAATGGTCCATAAGCTTCTCTAGTCTACATTTACCATAATGTTCAGTTAGCCTGAAGCAAAGCAGCCATGACTTAATTTCTTATTGGCTGCAAAAAACATTCTGGGTGATGTTTAAAAATAGACTACTAGGGGGGCGGGGCTTGACCTGCAAACTGAATGGACGCATATTGAAGGGGCTCCCACAGCCCACGCTGATATACCCGAAATACTCACCAACTCGATGCCTGCACAGATGCCGGGGTACGCTCCTCACGTTAAGGGCACCCTGGTGTATCACCCGATACCTGAAACGAGTATTTCCCGCAAATGAAAACTCGTGATGGCAAGCTGTGGCCTACGGCGGATGGGGCTGGGGGGAGGCGGCCGCTCTCATCGCCCTTATGCCGGGGGTACAGAGCCACTGACTGCCCGCTCCCCCCCCCCCAGGACCAGTGGGGGGTAATCCCGGTCCAACCCCTCCAAGCAGCCTGGCCTCAACGGACACAGACTGCAAAACCACATGAGCAGTTTCCAGCAACAACAGCGGACGTCGCATGCGACAATACCTGCCGCAAAGAACAAAGAATGGCCCAATATTCTGACCAGGCTTAATGCCATATTCGACACCTTTTGGGCAAAAATAGAGAGCAGAGCACAGCAGCCTAACATACCTGAAAATCACCCACACAGTGAAAAGCCCGCATGCCCCTGCCATCCTGGGAACCACCAACGACGACGCAACCTCCCAAAGCCACAAACACAAGCCCCCACGCCGCTGAGCGGATGGTCCTGAAGCTGGGACTCAAGCAGTTGGACTTTAAGATGCTGCAACTATCCACGCCTGACACACACGATAACCGGAATCTGCCGCAATTCTGCAGGAGGGCACAAAAGAACACCAGACCGGGCCAAAGAAGGGACTATCTGTACCTGCACACTAGCGGCATTGGGTGAAGGGTTGCAGCCGCGGGGACTCTGTCTGCTGCCGCTAAGTTACGGTTTTCATTTATTTTTCATTCATTGAATCGTTGCTCCCTATTATGTTACCCCTCCCTATCCATGCCTCATCTCAGCAGTATAGCAGCACATATATTACCAGTCTGCACTTAACCCATGGTCACCAATGACCAGCTGGTAATTAACCAGTCTTATTTTACACCCTGAACTGCCTGGCAAAGCATACAGTTACATTTATGTGTTCTGTTTTTTCTTTCTTTTCTCTCAATATGTTATATAGGCATGAAATCTAGAATACTCGCCTGCTTTACATAGTATAATGTTACCCCTGCTAGCTTACTAATCAGTAAATCATAATACCAAGACATATAAATCATACTTCATATAAGCTACATACTTCTAAACTTAAGCGCGACTAGACTTGTTAAAGGCATATCCGCCCAACCATGTTATATCATCTAAGCGATGTCCACTAGCCTGGTAACTTCATAATATATAAAAATGTGTTGACCAAACTGCCACAATGTGAAATGCTATAAAAATGCTCGTGGATGCTGTTGTGGCTCCACACGCTTGTTGTCATTATATGCACACAAAAAAATTAAAGAATTTAAAAAATGGACTACTAGTAGAATAACTACCAACCCCCATCATGATTAATAAGTTAAAGAGTTTTGGATTGGGGTTTGGGTAGATCTGGAGCTCCTAGAAGAATTATTGATTGGGATAGAATGTGGTTCATTCATTCAAAATAAACTGCGATTTAGCTTTCATCGATCGCTGTGTTGCACATATAAACCCAAAAGGGCGGAGTGGAAAAGTAACGGTCTTCCATTTTCTTTACAAGTGAAATAGGTTCTCATGCAAAAAGATTTGCAGAGAAATAGAGGGAAAAAGACCTAGCGCACAGAGCTCTTAAACTGGATAAAAATCCACCAAAAACCTATTAAGACAATGTGTTCCACTTAAATAGCAGCAATAGGAGCCCAGGAGCTAGTTTAGGAGCTTTAATCTCAGCTATTTTGACAATTTAGTAATTTACTTGTTGATTGACCACTATTTTATGTTTACTGAACATACCCTTTTGATAAATACGAACTTGAATAATATCATTATTGGTTCAGTGATGAGGGAGCCAGAGTGACATCATAACCCAGCTCCCGGCATTACAGCAGGGCGTGCGATGGAGCAGAACAAGAACAGCGGGAGGATTACTGCTCCCTCTGCCTCCTGCTCTCCACACTCCCTCGAGCTGACCAACACCCAGGTTGCCATGGCAACTAGCAATTTTGTCCTGGAATCTGGGATTTGTTGCACCCATGGGCCCTGTGGTGCAAGGAAGGACAACTGGTGGAATAGTCCTTGTCATCATAGGCACCCAAGGCTCATTGATGCACATGGGGGTAGCAAAGGCTTGCTCTTCTGGTCTAATCACACAGAAGCACTACTGTAGCTCAGATTGCTGAAAGACTTAATGCTAAAGGCCATGACAGAAAGGTGTCAGAACACACAGTGTATCACGTTTTCCTGCCTATGGGACTTGCATAGCCGCAGACAATTCTGAGTGCTCATAATGATCCCTATCCGCTGCTGAAAACTCAGTCAATGGGGACATGAGTGTCAGAGCTGGACCACGGAGCAATGGATGAAGGCTGCCTGATTTGATGAATCATGTTTGCCTTTAGATCAGGTTGATATATATTACATTTCAAAGAGGGGATCTTGTGTGTGATTTATCCATTTGTTTCATATAATGGTTCTGGAGACTTGACATTTTAAAAGCTGAACTATGACATTATCTAGCAATGTGCAATCAATAATTGGTCAGAATTTTATTTTTATTTTATTTTTTTCCTCTTTCTCATTCCATATGTTTTCACAGATTCCAGTAATGATGTGAGTGATGAAGGACTGCCAGAAGATCTGCTACCTGTTAATACAAGTGCAATTGACCAACTAAGTGATGGGCTAATTTCCCACTACTTGCCTAATCTCCAGAGTTCAAAGCTTGCCTTGCAAGAACTTACGTACGTAAAATGAACACAAACGGTTACCTTTATTAATTCACAGGCAGGGATCTTATGATTTACAAATAATAACTGTAACGCAGCTTTCATGGCAAAATGACTTGATGGAACTGCTTGAAATTTGTAAATTATAAAGAAATGTCGAATTAAAAAATACATTGTTTTATGGGATTACCAGTGGAACCCCAGGGCCCCGCATATTTGTGCATGATTATGGCGTTTGCATGGTTCCCCCTGGTTATAACTGTGTCCTATGGATCCTCACTCAATTTAATCATTCTTCTTAGACCTATCAATCTGCAGCTAACCCAGTCTTTAGCTCTGTTTGTTTTAATTCCTGAGCTATATTATATATTGCAAGTTAGTTATGGTGATGATTTATGAATCTTTAAGTATTGAATTAAAGAACCCAGGTTGCTCCCATTTGTTTCCTTTTTAATTTATATACTTATTGTAGTCACTGTTTGTAGTAAGTTAAGAAGTTCTTAAATTACTTTAAATAGTTTCTAAGCAGCTAGAGAGTATTTTATTGCAATGCCCTGCAAACTCTACACATTTGATTATCTTTAAAACAAAATCTATCTATATTTTTGTCACAGGCAAAATCAGGTGGTATTACTAGACACTCTTGACCAGGAAATCTCAAAATTCAAAGACTGTAACTCTATTCCTGACATCAATGCTCTGGTAAGTAACACTATTCTATGTGGTCTATATTAAGGTGCTTGGAAAATCTCAGATGCTCTTGGTGGGTGGGTTTGTTTTTGTTTTGTTTTTTGTAGAAGAGCCAGCTGGGCGTTATATGGTTTCCCCGAGAGCTTCCTCATAACTCCTTTTTCTGTTGTTTGTACGTGATGATTTACATCTTCTGGTAGACCTTGCTTGCTGTGGCATGCAAGGGAAGGACTCTGTGTCAGTGACTACAGTTAGTAAGTGTGTAGTTTCCACTACATCAGTGCTCAGAACGGAACAAACATCTCCGTTAGTATGATTCTTGGTTTTTAATCACTTGATGGATCTTTGCTGCCTATAAGTCAACATGCTCACTTGTTCTGTTTCAGCCATCAGTAGTAGCTAAAGGGTCATATACCTTTCTACATGGATGGCGTCCTATTCTCTTTTTTTACTCTATTTTATCCTCTTACAGTCTCCAAACATTTCCCTGTTCTGGCAAGATATCACGAGTTCCATTTCTTTTCCTTTTTCACTGGTACAAACAGAGGTCAACAATGCATCGGGGACCCATTCTATGTTATTCTCCTCTGTTCCTGAAATGAGATACCCTATTCATGCAGTGTTACTGCATCTCTAATATGTTAAAATAGTGTGTCCTATAAGCAATAGAATTGTGTATCCAACAAGCAATAAAAATTAATTTTAAAAATATATATCCTTTTTAACATCATTTCCAATTTCATTTTTAAATAAAGTTTTCTGAAGCAAAATATTACCACAACAAACTGGTGAATATCCGGAAAGAGATGATAATGCTTCATGACAAGACTTCAAAATTAAAGGTGAGTTTGTTTATTTTCATTTCAATGTTTATAGTAATTTTGATTTACTAAACTGGTACAGTAAAGAACTTTCCAGGTACTCAAATAATATGCTTGTAATATAATAGTTTAAGGAACACTATAGGGTCAGGAACACAAGCATGTATTTTATCGCATTTCCACTCTCCTCCTGGATTTTCACCTGTCATGCCTCAAATTTTCACCAGTTCTCAACAGCTTCCATTTTGTTTTCCCTATTCTATGTATTAAAGGGAAATCCCTGGAGCAGCTGTGTAAGACATTTGGTGACCAAGTATAGGCACTCAACTATTTTAAAATAAATTCTCTGTCTTCATGATGTACCTGTGGAAACCAAGTTCTGGTCTCCGTTTGGGAACCAAGTTCCATTCTTCCTTTGTGTATTGCCTCTTATCTATGGGGAATAGAACCAATTGGAAATCTTGGAAAGTACCAGCCTATGTGTTTTAATGAAGAAAATAATTTGACATCACAGCTGGCCATGACCGAGTTCATGTTTAGCAATTCTTATTATAGTGCCCGTTTTTCTTCATGAATTGGAGATTGGAAGCACTGTAGGAGTTTTGCATTGTCTGGCAATGGTAACGCAAGCCACCAGGATAGTATGAAGTGTGAACACTTGGAGGGGCATTTAAATTGTGGTGGCAAAATATCCCATAGAATACCAGTTAAAGTTGATAGAATGTTAACATTTTGTTATTTTCCTTATAACTGAATTGATTTGAGTCTAGTTTGATGCAAGTAGGGACAATCCCAGAGTATATGAACCATGGCGCCAAAAAAGATTTGAAGCATTTGGATAAATGAACTAGCCATACTAGCACTAAGAAACAGCAAAAAAAAACATTTTCCGGAATGCTTCCCAATGTCCGTTGCATTTTGAGATGCTCCTCATAATAGTGACTGGTCTAGTGATGGTGTTTGCTGAAGTTCTTTCTCCCCCCTGTAGGCTGTCAACAGAGCAGGAGTTAAGACATTTAAAATTACACACACTGTGCAGTAAAGGAAGTTTGCTGGACAGTTTAGTTCTGTAGCAGAAGTTAAAAAGTGGGTCTTAATGAATTGTGGATACAACTCCTTATGTGATGTTTAGGATGTGAGTATATAAATAACTGTTTCATTGATTATATTGTTTATGTAAGATTGGAAAATCCTTGCCATATTTTATTACTTTGAGCTAAACATCCAGTACCCCCTTTCCTTCTGAGGGGACCAATCTCACATAGTATTGGACCCGGCCTGTCTCAAAGCATTGGGCTCTGAGCTGGACAAAGAACAGTACTGTGTACATGAAAATGCTCACAGCACCTGCAAGTACAGTGCTGACTTGCACACAATGAGCCAGTTGTACATGGCATGCTGTAAGGAGACCGGGATCTGAGCTCCAAACACGTCCCTCAGGATAATGAAAAATGGCAATAATTTGAAAGGTAAGTTTGCAGGGGCCACTTAAAGGGACACTTTTCGGCACTGTAACCATTTGTTGTCCTCCTTCCATTCAGTAATAAACTGTTTTGAGTGGTTTAACGCTGAACAAGAGTCTAATGCAGACTTTCCCATCTGTTCTGCCTTGGCTAATGAAGAAGCATTTGCATGAGCAGTAGCGGGTGATGGTGATTGGCTGTGAGTATCATCTGACAACTCTCAGCCTATCACAGGCACCCAGTGTCGATATATGATGTTGTATGGCTAATGAAGAGTGTAATGCCTGCCTTCGCTATACTTTTGGTGGGGGTCAGACAGTGGCATTCAGTGTTAAGCCACTTGAAAATGATTTAACATTAAATGGAGGGATAATGCCAGGGGATGCCTGGAACTATAACTACTTTAATGGTGTGAAATCGCTATAATGCATAAAGCGCCTCTTTAACCGCAAACATACCCAATCTAAAGTAAAAGGTGTAGTGTTTGTTGTTGGAGTTGGGATTGTTTAAAATAGGGAATAATGGGGTACTAAGGTACATAACTTTTTGTTTTCTATCAATATCTAAAGGGACACTATAGTCACCAGAACAACTACAGCTTAATGTAGTTGTTCTGGTGAGTATAATGGTTCCATTCAGGCCTTTTCATGTAAACACTGCCTTTTCAGAAAAAAAGGCAGTGTTCACATTTCACCTAGGGACACCTCCAAGTGGCCACTCCTTAGATGGCCACTGGAGGGGCTTCCTGGCTCAGGGCTGCACAGTAAGCAGCCCTGCCGTTCAGCATCCCCACGCTCTGCATGGAGACGCTGAATTTTCCTCATAGAGATGCATTGCATTCTGCCCGGTGCAGATTTTACAAAAAATCGGCCATTTTGATGTCACAAAGGGGGCGGAGCCAGTGCTGGTGGACCCGCGCAGCGCTGGAAATAAGGTGAGTTTTTATTTTTTATTTTTATAGGGGTGGGGGGGGGTGGGGTTTCTAAGCAGGGGCAAGCCACTTAAATGGTGGGTTTAGCACTATAGGGTCAGGAATACATGTGTTGTGATCCTTTAACTCAAGGTTTAAAAATATAATAGACTTGTATTCCTTCGTCTTTGCAGACTGGTGTATTTTTTTTAGAACAGCAAGGAAGGCTGCTTCATAGGGTTACACGATGTCATACTGTCAATACAATGTAACAATATTCAGAGAAACAGCATTGTTTTCTAGACTGAATCAGTTACTTGCATAGATTACACCACAATGACAAAATAATGCACCAAAGACAAAATATAGAAAATGCTACACTGTCAATAAACAGTGTGAAAAATTAGGTAAAATCAGTTTGTTGCAGATATGGCATCCTACACCGGATAATAAATCAAAAGCGTTGCAGAATCAGTTAATTTAAACCCCAAAACCGTCAGAATCAGTTAATTACAAAGATTCTATAACATTCAGTAAGATATAACAAAAGCCTGACCTCGGCTAGAATATTGGGTAAACGTTAAATATATCTCTCCGATATTATTGATGACCTGTATGTAAGAAGACATACGATACATGTTATTTTATTTAACTTGTTTATCATTGTGCTATCCTTTAAGAGATCCCTCTCTGTTATGGTTGATTATATATTTCCTACTTGTTCTATGTTAAATTTTGTGTATTAATATTGTTTTTGTATTTTGTTGTACCCTATTGTAACAATGCAATGTTTTGTGGACCCAGGACATACTTGAAAACGAGAGAAATCTCAATGTATCCTTCCTGGTAAAATATTTATAAATAAATATCCGCGTTAACCCGTGGGAGTCCAAGGGCAAGGAAGAGTATGTGCTAAGGAAGATGCTAGATTTTTATGAAGCAAATATGTATATAATGCAACATGAGCATCATACTTGATTATCCATTGAAAGATGATTAGACACAACTGAAGCAATCATTAAGCGTGTTTTATGGTCTGCAGTCGTTCATATTTTTCTTGGATTTATTTTACAGAAAAGAGCTTTAAAATTACAACAGAAGAAACAGGAAGAAAACCTTAAACAGGAACAACAACGTGAACGTGAATTGGAAAGAGAGAAACAGTTAACAGCAAAACCAGCAAAAAGGACATAATATGCCAAACTTACAAAATATTTACTGCTTCACCAGGAAATGTGAGCCAATGCTTGGGGAAATGTCACAGTGCCTATCTTTTACTTTCATGTTATGCATTTAGATTGCGTTTTGAAGATGTCTTCGTTAATTTTTAGAGATTTTTATTCCTTTTAATATGTTAAATTAATGTCACATTTAAGTAAGAGGGACACTATAGTCACCAAAATAACTTTCACTTAATGAAGCATGTTTAGTGTATAGATCATGCCCCTGCAGGCTCATTGCTCAATTTTCTGCCATTTAAAGTTAAATAATTTCGTTTATTCAGCAACAGTCACACCTCCCCCAGCTGTGACTCATACAGTCAAAATGGAAAAAAAATGGTTGAATTTTCAATCAGATCTTACAGCATAAAGTTTTTATCTCCTACTTTATTTATACTCAGAAGGCCCCTGTAGGCTGTCAACAGAGCAGGAGTTAAGACATTTAAAATTACACACACTGTGCAGTAAAGGAAGTTTTGAAAACTAGATCTCTCTTTACAGGAAGCGTGTAGGGAAGCTTTGTAAGCCACAAGCAGGGGGAATGCATGGCTAGGGCTGAATGAAAAAGTGTTTGTTTTTTCTCCTCTTAAATAGCAGAGAATTGAGCAGTAAGACTGCAAGGGTTTGGTTTATATATCAAAACCAATTAAGTAAGCCAAAGCTGATTTGATGGTTAGAGTGTCCCTTTAAACCAGGCCATGACTGTGCCATGCCACAATCACAATGCAGTCCAAGATTTCATGGCTGTTATGTTTGCTTTCAGTAACCAGGATATACATCTTGGTTTATACCAAGGAACGTGGCCTGGTAATACTGTTAAATCCGTTTACTCAAGTCGTTTTCCCATGGTGCTGAAAACGGTTATTATCAGGATAAAATTAATACAACAGAGGTTGAGGAATTGGTTGATCAGAGAGTCGGCAGAATTATTCATATTGTAGACAGTGTTCCAGAATTACATAACTTTATAATAGTGCAAGCTTGAATCTCTTCATTCTCATACGCTCCTATTTCTGAAATATTTGTTTGAGGCTGTGGTGTTTAGTTTAACATGTTGGTTTTTTTTGTGAATGCCATTCAATTGTTTGGCCATTGTTTATTAACCCTTCGGACAATTATCCTGCAATCGTACTGCACACCTGTAGCAATATTAACATCACAAACTGTGAAATGCATTTAAAAAAAGTTAGTTGCAATTATTGACCTCTGTTTCTGCTAACCCTTAGCATAGTACATATAGTGGTCCGTGTTTTCCATGACTTTTGGCTGTTTGAGCATCATGGACACACCAACAGGTTACCCATCTCTGGACTGGATGGGTCTGCTCAACTACATGGTTTTGAAAATACATTTGAAGATGTTTTGTATGAAAGTTGCTATTGTAGCACAGTTTGTCACTTTAGCATATGCAAGTTTTACCTGGTTATGAATGTGTACCAGTCAACACACAAACAAGCTTTTTTTTTTTTTTTTTTTTTTTGTGGAAATAAGATGGCAAACAACGTTAATGTGGGTTTAAAGTTTATTGCAGCTTCATCTGATTCTTTACCAAAGTATCATGGGAGCTCTACCTGTTGCCAACCCGTGTTTAAACAATTTCAAGATCTCAGATATTCATTTGAAGATCTGTTTATAAATAAACTAAAAATTGTGGATAACAGCTAACGAAATTGCAAAGATAAGTCCAAAATATCCAAGTTGGGTAAGTAACCGAGTTGGAGCTTATTCCCAGTTCATTTATTTATATATATATATATATATATATATATATATATAATACATTTTTTTTTTTTTTATTCCATTTTGTATCTTCATCAATTCTGCACGTTTTTTTAGTCTAGTGAACAAACCGCTGGTGATTCCCAAAAGTTATTTTCTGTGATTAGTCCATATCACAGATATATAATCTAGTATTTTTTAGTTTTATATTTTACTTTTGTTTTGGAATAAAATCCTAAGCAGTGATTGATGCATAGTCACATAAAACAATGAGCTGTGGTAGTCGTTAAATATTGTCATTCAAGGTGGTGGTAAACTTATGGCAGTACAATGGCAGAGGCATACCTAGGATGCATGGCAACCAGATGGATATGTATTTTGCACCAAACCCCAAAATTGTAAAAACATTATTTTCACATTCACTTGTACTTACATTCATGTGTGCACACATGCATTCATATACACAGACACATAAACACACAGAATGAAACATACCCATACACACATTCATATACACAGACTGGTACCTACATGCATTTATACACAGACTCCTACGCACACACACTGACTTTTACACACATACTTACATATACATATATACACACACACAAATTATTGTTATTTATATACTTTATTTTTTATCTCTTTCCATCAAGAATCTGTCTTCTTACATTCGGCAGGAGAGCTGGAGTAGATTCTTAACCCTGGTGTCCAGGCTCTGTACCGATTTCCTTGCTTCCTTCTGCTCTGTAGTGACGTTGGGGCTGGTGTGATGTCATATCCTGGCTCCAACACCAGAACAGGGCCCGTGAGGAGCTGTGAAATCCATACAGAGTGATGCCTGCAACCCCTTAGTGCCAAATTTGTAGCCACAGTGACAGAGTGTGCACTTATCACACAGCATCCCCAAAAGAAACTCCCTTGTAGGCAACAGCCTTCTCTGGCACGGGGTGCTCTGTGTCATATGTGCCGGACCATTCCCGCTCTCCTATTAGTATTCCTCTGCCAAGGTGAAACAATGACAGAATAATACCAACAGCTAGTAAGTGAGTCAGATCTATAATTCTACATTACATATCGATGCTAATCCGTTCTATGAGTGGTGTCTTACCTGTAACTGGGAGATTTGTTGAGATGTATCGCAGTTTCATAGAGTGAGTCAGATGTAAATACAGAATGCACCTGTACAATATTGGCAATTGTTCTTCACCAGAGAACAGTGTTTAAAATAAGAATACTATAGAAACTGTATGTAAATGACAATTTCTTTCACATTTTCAATATGCAGTCCATGCAATATATAAATATGTATCATACGCAGATATATCTGGAAACTGTAATATGTAAATACATCTATTTACCAGAACTATGTGTTACTGTGTCTTTATTTATAATATGGCATTGTGCTCCATTTAAGCTCAACCTAATTTGTGCCAGTGTGCACCATTACACCGTTGTCAAATGCTGAATTTATTTCATGACCCTCTTTATATACAGTACATACGGCTCCAGAAATCGATTTTATTTTACACAAATACTTATTTGTTAAACATAGAGATAACTAAACAATAATACAAATCCTTTGGAGTGACCATTCCCCTTTAGCAATAATTCTGTCATGTTCAGATGGAGTAATCTAATGTTTATAAGTGGACAAGTTCTTTCCGTGTAATTCTAACCATTACTAATATTACCGCTGCTGTTAACACTTTCATTATAACTGTTACCTCAATGAAGACTGACCTAATCTTCCTTCAGGCTTTATGATACCAGTTCCCTCGCCATGCCATTTGGCCACTAACCATTCCCATAACACTTGCCCAGTGTCCTGCATTCCAGTTTACGTGCCCATTGCCCTGGATAAACTGTTTTCTCTACCCCTATTTTACTTATCCCTGATTTTCCCTTCCTACATCACCCGCCCTCTCCCTTACCTTGTCCTTAAAGGACCACTCTAGGCACCCAGACCACTTCAGCTTAATGAAGTGGTCTGGGTGCCAGGTCCTTCTAGGGTTAACCTATTTTTTCATAATTATAGCAGTTTCAGAGAAACTGCTATAATTATGAATGGGTTAAGCCTTCCCCCTAATCCTCTAGTGGCTGTCTCATTGACAGCCACTAGAGGCGCTTGCGTGCTTCTCACTGTGATTTTCACAGTGAGAGCACGCCAGCGTCCATAGGAAAGCATTGTAAATCCAGTAAATTATATGTGTGGGAACAGGGGTGATGCAGCCTCCATATGGTCAAGGACACCCCTGCTGACCTCCAAGTCAATGGCACTATAATGTAGCTTTAAAAAACACTGCATTAGACACCCTTCATAAGCTTTCAATAGAACATTAGAAATACATAATAAATTCTCACCCCTAGCAAGCTAAGTTTGAGTAATACAGGTACTGCACACCGCAGTAACACCACACACAGTCCACAAGCTTACACAATTTGAACACAGGACCTATCACCAAATGCCATCTAGTCATAGTGCAGCCAGCTGTATCATTTTAATTAAAGGGTTTCCCCTGGCACCATGCTCATTTATTTGAAGTAGTCATAGTGCCTAGATCTGAGCAGTGTTTCAATTCGAACTATAGCACAGAGACTAACCCCTTAGCTGGCAGACAGCCAATGGCTGCACAGCCCATATTCTCCGCCTAGTACGTCATGTCCTATGCTTAGTCCAGGGGTAGTCAACCTTTTAATACCTACCGCCCACTTTTGTATCTTTGATGGTAAAATTTCCTTCCCATCCACCAGTGCTACAGTAACTAATTTTTTTGAGCAATTCCTTCCCTCCCAGGCCCTTTCCTCCTTCTGCTGGAACTAAGTGCCAGCGGGCCGATGAGGGAGATCTTTGATCTTCTCACCAGCCCGAGAGGGCTCACAGCAAGGCTGGCTCTGCATGGGTCAGCAGGGGAGATGAAATGACTATCGAGGCCCACTGGGCATTTTCTGCATCTGAAATCCCAAACCTCCCACTAGTAGGCAGTAGGCACCAGGTTGATTACCCATGGCTTAGTCCATCCACCCTAACATTCCTCCCTCTCCAGACAGGGGGAGTGATGTCATCGGAGGAACATGGGCCGAGGGAAAATGTGGCTTGGCACTGGGTTACATATCAAAATGGTGGAAGGGAAGCGGCACCTTGTGGGTGTCCTCAATCTGAATCAATATGCAAAATAAGAGGACAGGAAAAATATAGTGTAATATGTTACTGTAATCAGTGAGGTAAGTAAAAAGATACACTTACAGTTTTTTTGAGCTTATGATCCGCTCCAAATGTATATGCCTCAGTACAATCATTGCCTGTGGATATACTTGTAATCTTGGTCTGGTGGGGTCTTGAACTGGTCTGCATAAGATAGATATATAGATACGGTCTCTATTGGTGAGTGGAAATCCTTCAAATGACAGAGAGGGGGATCCCCTAGCACTTACCAAATGCACTTCCCTGTTAGAGTCCCTTTGGAAATTAATCAGGGCAGCCCTTGGAGCCTCAGAGAGAGCCATGACATCTTTAGATAAGTGGAAGCAGCAGTCACTTACGGTGCTTCAAGTGTATTTAGAGGTCAGTAAAGTTGAAAGGATCCTCCAAATCTAGTGGAGTAATTCCACATTGGTAATGGCTTTGGGGACTCGTCTGAACCAAATTTTCAAGAGTGGCTATGTGGGCATTCATATCTGCACACCTTGTCTGTATAGAACTAAGTGCTGTGTCTGTGCCCAAGATCTTCTGTGCCACATTCTCTCTAACTACGTCCATTTCCTCCTGGAGCAGAATATTTTGTTATAAAGCTTTAATATCTGCTTCTGTAAATAAGGCATTATAGTCTTCTACTGTGGATCTTTGTGAACACTGGGTACCTGAAGTGAAGATGGCAGATGTCCTCTTTCAAGGAAACTAAGAAGTAGGCTTCAGTAGCCACCTTCTTGGCTGATGCAGACCTCTAGGACAGTCATAGTAATGCTCCAATATCTCGGGCACTGGGCCCAGAATTTGCTTCTTGGAATTTCTCCCCTATATACAACTTTAGGTTTCTCCCTAATAAGTTTTCAAATCCTCGTCTTGTTTTAAAAGATGACTATGCTTATTTAATATATATATATTTTTTTTTTTTTTAAAACATGGCTTTGAGAAATAAAGTCACATATAAAAGAAATGTGCTCGTTGACTGACTGTTTATTTTTTACATTATATTCTAAAGGCTCCTTTCTAAGTTTATCTTCAATAATTTTAAATTGATTTTTGACTTCTTTTTCATTCTACCCTTTTTGATAAAATTGTTGGTTAAGTACTATCCATTGCTCTAAAAATATATTTTCTTCTGTACAATTCCTTTTCAAACGGGTAAATTGTCCGTTACGAATATTACACCACCAAGGGCTAAAATGAAAACTATCTATATAGCTGAAGAACACTGTGTTCTTCACAGACATGCACTGGTAGCTAAAAATATTTCAATCTCACTTAAAACTGGGCTAGACAAATTTGGTCGAGATTATTAATTTTATAAAAAGTCGACCATTACAATCAGGGGTGTACTTAGAGCATTTGGCACCCGGGGCGGATCCTGTGATTTAATGTATTGAACAAATGTGTAAACGTTGCAAAATCCTTGTCCTGTCCCGCCCCTTCTACAAATCCTGTACTGCCCCCTGTCTACAAAACCCCTGCGACCCCCTTCCACAAATCCCCTGCTCAGACCCCCTTATAAAGACTCCTGTCCGAAAACAAAACCCCTGCCCCCTTCTACAAAATCCCTGCAGCCCCACACACACACACATTTACAGGCAGTCACACACACAGTTACAGGTAGACAGTCACATACACACAGTCACACACAGACAGTCATGCACACAGTTACAGGCAGATAGTCACATATACATTTACACACAAACACGGTCACAGGCAGTCACACATACAGTTAAAGGCAGCAGCAGACAGTCACACACACACAGTCACACACATGGCTACAGGCAACATCAAACAGTCACAGGCAGACCGTTACACACACACACACAGTCAGTTACAGGTAGTCATACACAGTCATAGCCAGACAGTCACATATACAGTCGCTCACACACACAGTCACAGGCAGAGAGTCACACACACACAGTTACAGGCAGACAGGTACATGGTCACAGGCAGTCACACACACAAATACACACAGTTACAGGCATGCAGACATACACACAAATATACACGGTTACAGACAATTGCATACACACACACACACACTCTTACATACAGACAGGAGCTGGAGTTAACATTTTAAACAAATTTTTACTTATAGTTACGTTGAGAAAGAAGGTAATTTTATGGAGGATTGGTAACAAAAATTTTTATCACTGTGGTAACTGTAAGAAAATTTCACATTTTCTGTTACCAAAAAGGATTTTAATGCTCTCTCCTTTGTGAATCATTTTTAAAAAAAATTATTTATTAAAATGCACATGTGGATTACGATATATAGGGAAAACCTCAAGATCCCTCAAAACTAGAATAAGTGAACATGTGAGAAACATTAAAATTTGATTTTTTTATTTTTTATTTTTTTTTAACCACAGTTGGTCAAAACACTTTTTAGAAACCCATAACTCCAACCCAAAAGAATTAGAATTTATGGCAACTCAAAAAATATCTACCCATTGGGTGGAAATTTTGCTTTTAACTTAAGTAAAAAAGAAATCAATTGGATTTTTTAATTACAAACTTTATGCCCTAAAGGACTAAATATTGATTTTGAAATTGGACCTATCTTCTAATTAATCTATCTTCTATTAATTTATTATTTTTAACCCTTCTTATTATATGCAATTATTGTCTAATATATTTTCTTCTTCATATAACTTATATTTATGTTGTTTTCAAAAAGAATGTTATATCTTCCTGGTTTCCTGTTTTAGGTAAACTAACCCATCCTATTCATGATTTCCCTGCCCTATTCCAAAATGGCGATTCTGTGAAACACTCTATTCGAGTGGTACATGTATGTTGAGACTTCTTAGACCGTTCTTATTGGACAATAAGGACGCAATGATGAACCTCCAATCCACATGATCCGACGCCCGCCAGAAGAAAGGAACAGCGGACGTAACCAGAAGTAACTGTTACATGTGACCAGCAGTGATTCTGAATAGACGCGCGGCCAGGGCTGGCCTTAGGGGTGTGCTTGCTGACAGGGCGCCATTGACCAGGGGGTGCCCTGCGGCCGACACAGCTCACACTTGGCCAGCCGGAATAAAAAAAAAAAAATTTGCAGCGGGGGCGGGGCTTCCTGTGCAATGGGGCGAAGCATCCCTGCGGCAGGGATGGAGCTAAAAGTGCCGGATAACTGCTACAGGGGAAGCTTCCCCACCACATAGT